CAGAGGAACAGCTGGAGCCTGTTCCCAGTGTGCGCATGCGCAGAGTTGCCAGGCGAAGGGAACAACTAAAGAACAGGGCTCAACTTGGGAGTTAGGCCATAAGTGGACGATGAATGGCCCCTTCCATAGGAAATAAAAGAGGAGCAAAAGGGGAGTGGAGTTTGCAGGAGACCATTAGTTCGCTTAATTGGTTCGTGACTCTTTGAGATGATATCAGCCTGGCAGCTCTCCAAGAGCTGCGACTGTAAATCCTCCCTGGAAAACCTTTCTGGATGTGAATGAGCAGAATTCACAGTCAATTAATAAAAGGGATTTTTGTCGGGACCAGGAGTTTGCTTCATGCTGTTGGGGCGCCTACTACGGTGTCCAAATAATATAAGATACCACTTGTTTTGGCAATAGTAACTATTTAAAAAAAAACAACCGACATGCTACACCTATACAATTCAAGCCTCACCCCTTTTATACGAAAGAAGGTTTAACTTTTTCTGACCATCCCAGAGTAACCACAGCAAGTGATTTTAAGTAAATGGATTAAATTTATGTTTACTGACAAAGAAACAAATATAAATTCAACACAAAAATGGTTTGTGGGGAAAGCTACTGCCTGCGAAGGGCCCTGGATTGGGGCTGAAAAGCGAAAGGGGAAGCAGCATGCTCCGTCCCACAGTTGGATCTACACCAGGTTGCCCCGACTGAAAACACACTTAAGTAAATGGGATGCTGCATGGCAACAATTCCGCCCTCGGACGTTGAAAACTTACTCGCCCATGTAGCCCTTGGAAGTGGAATGAAAAGAAGCGAGTTCGACATTATTCCAGTAATCGGGTCCCATCTCGTAAAGGATTTTTTTGAAGGAGTGGAACTGGCAATCCTCCGAGTAGACGTTGTCTTGATACACCTGCACCCCAGGAGAGACACAATTTCAGGGAGTCCTCGACGTATGACCATTATGGAGCCTACCCAAAGCTGGGTCAACACAGGACCCATGCGATTTTTATGACCTTGCCTTGCAGCAGATGGCGAGCGAATCGACATGGCTATTATCTGAACCCAGGAGTGGAGTGCTGGGGATTCGCAGGGGTTCAGGAGAACCTCTAGCTAAGATTCTGTGCAGTTCGGAGAACCCACGCAAATCCCACTCCTGGCTGGCCGCGCCCACCGCTCAACTCCCCTCCCAGGAGTCCCCATGCAGCTCATTTTGGAGGCAGGTAAGTGCAGGGCGAGCACGGAGGCTCAGGGAGGGTGAAAAATGGGCCTCCTGGAAGTTCGGGAAGGTCGGAAACAGGTCTTCTGAGGGCCTCCAGAGTCTGGGGAGGCCATTTTCACCCTCCCTTTTAATAAAAGGGGTTTTTGTCGGGACAAGGACTTTGCTTCCTACTCTTGGGAAACCTCGGTCAGAACAATTGCTGTCTCCGAGGCCGAATATTTTCATTACCTCGTCAGCCAGAAGAAACAGCTTCTCTTCCGAGGCAAAGTGTATCACCTCTTCAATACATTTTCTATTTTGAACTTGGCCTAAAATTCAGGAAGAAATAGGAAACACAAAGATTCAAAGCACTCTTCCTTTCCAATGAAACAGAGGTTACATCAAACATTTCTTCATTCCAGAACAAAAGAGAGACTGTCTCCACTTTAGGTGTGAGGGTCAGGGAGGGTGTACAAGGGTGCCCAAAGCTGTGAGGGATGTACAACAAGAGGGGCATGGGGATGGCACTAGGGAATGCACAAGGGATGCATGGCGCGGGTTGGGATAGATGTGCAGGAGGTGTGGCACAGCTGAGAGAGGGTTGGAGGGGGTGTGCAAGTAGCCAGCACAAGAGCAGAATGGTTGGAAAAAGTTGCATAGATGGGGGACACCTACCCTGCTGATGTGTGACTTTTCCTGCCAGCTTCCCCAATGACTTTCTGGGGAAGCCAGCAGGAAAGGTTGCAAATGCCAAACACGCAATCACTTGTAAGTGTGAGCCAGTTGCACACAATCACATGACTGCAGAGATGCTAGGATGACCCAACTCTAAAGACCGGTCATAACCAGCATTTTTCAGCATTGTTGAATGTGGGCTGAACAACGGTCGTAACTCGAGAACTGCCTGTATACCAGTGGTGGGTTTCAAAAGTTGCTCGAACCTACTCTGTGGGTGTGGCCTCCTTTGTGGGTGTGGCTTGCCACCCATGTGACCAGATGGGAGTGGGTTGCCGCCCATGTGACCGGATATGAAATTATGAATTAGTACTTAGGTCGGTCCAAGTAGCTATTCAGAAACTCTGGCATTGAAGCATGCA